CGCAGCTGCCTCTGCGCGTCCTGTGGATGTACCTTTGTCGCGCGCCGGAGACGACTCGACGCCGCTGAGATCGGAGATCAAGCTCTGACAGGTCGCACGTCGCTCCTTTGACGCCGACGTGATTTACCCGTGCAGATCACATCAGGACACGGTCTCGACGCGCTCGGTACGACGCCTGCGACCCGTCTCGGGTCAGGTGGCACGACGCTCATATCGCCTGCCAGCGCTGCCGTGCAGGCTGCCACGACGAGGTCGAGCACGCTTCTATACGCTCGCCGAGCCTTCCTTTCCATCCCGTTAGGCAGCCTGGGAACGGTGGCGATCAGAGGCAAAGCCTACGAGGGGTGGTGGAACCACATGTCACGGCTACTGCCGGCTCGACCCCACGATAGCCTCCGAAGGCTGACTTTGCGGCACCATCATCGGACGATGTCGACGAGTTGGGTCGCTCTCGCGGTAGCCAGATGACCTCTCATACTAGGATCATCGGCCATGGCCGCAGGGAGCGCGGGGGAGGGCGCTGGATGCAACACGGAGCTCCGTTGGAGACGTTTTCAAGATTAGCGTGTCAGAGTGAAATGGCACTAGCCAAAGGCTAAAGCCGTAGCAGAAGAGTCGACGAACCGAAGTGCGAAGACGGCGACACGCGCGAGCGACACGCGCGAGCGACACGCGCGAGCGACACGCGCGAGTACACCCGTGCCCAGTGTTGTGCGAGGAAAGAAAAGGAAGGAAAGAACGGGCCCCACCTTTCACAAATTTACACACCACTCGTCCCGCACTGGTTTTTTGCTATCACCGCCGTACGGTGACAGGCACTGGCATATTTTTTAGACTCCCCGCGCGACCCACACCACCGGGGGGTTTTTTGCGATTTCAGACCCGCAAAACGACCATTTCTAACAAAGTTGTATGCTGCAAGAGATGCTCCAGAAGATAACATACATACGCCTTTGGCCTACTTTTGCCAAAAGCAAACATGAATCGAAATAAGAGCACCGAGTAAGACCGAAGGGCGGCGAAGGTTAGGTAGCCTACATGTGTATGCCGATTTGCTGGAGAGCTGAAACTGTGGGGAAAGGCCACTCTTGTTTTTTGTACTTGGGAGGCGCGATCCCCCTTTCTCAAGGCTATGGCCATGACCTACGGTAGTGCCCCCACTGAGAATCAAATGTTAACATTGCCCCTCACAATTCCACATTGGGCTAAAATAACCCAAATCACCGGACCTAAAAAATCACACAGCTCCATGACGAGCTTCTCGCATCGATCCCACGCGTCCCAGCGCAGCCTGTGGGTTGGGCCGACCCGACCTCAGCCCAAAAGGACCGAGTAAACAGGCTGTTCGCACTTAGTAGACCTAGACTGATTTATACGAGTATATAGACTGATCTATACGAGTATATTATACTTTAATCTTTATAGCCTACTATTGGGAGGTAAGTACGACAGTATAATGGCCAGTTCGTACGTGATGGAGTAGTGAATGCAATGGGACAAGTCAGGGCAATGTATACAAGCATATAATATCATTTGCCGGACACACACACTCGAGCGCTTCACATGTCGGCACTTTGGTAGTCCGTAGCGGTGGCAACCAAAGTGCGCATCAGAGCGCGAAATTGTTGCCGGCCACGCTCAGTCCGCGCATACAATCCGCGCGCTTCGCACGCGTGCAACCCGCGCGCTTCACACGCGCATCCCGAAAGAGAATTGCCGAAAATGGTTCCCAAAAATGGCGCGACGAGGGGAGGCACAAAAAAAAGCGGTGAAACCGCCACACGGACGTCTACCGACCGACCGATTGGCCGCACGCGAGGGCGAGGATTTTTTTTTGGCGAAACCGATGAAACCGACATCGAAACCGACACGAAACCGACCTGAAATCTACCAAAACTGACCTCCTCCGCCGCCGCGCAGCATCTCGCTGTGACGCCACCCCTCTCCCCTCCGGGACCGCCGGAGGGGGATTAGTATGTTATTTTTTGAGCTTAGCCTTCGATGTTATGAAACAAACGCAAGGCGGACATGGCATATCGCTCTCGGGCCCACAGACATCCCGCACACTCGCCGCACACCCGCCGCCCCCGCGCGCGCCCCACCTCGGCCGGGAGAAAGGGGAGTGACAGTTTGGGATGGACAGCCCGAGTATGTTGAGTCCTGGCTCAACAACGCAGGGAACAAGAGGAGTTCGTATTTGTGTGTATCGCGCGCCTTGCGGGGGGGGCGCGGAAAAGAGGAACCTCTTAGCGCCATCGCCACGGTGCTGCATGCAGCGCCGGGCGACGACGGCTTACCGCCTCCCGGTCCCCCTCGGCACACCTCCGCTGCTCAATGTTTGACGGCTCGAACCCGTGAAGCTTCCCCGTGCGCGGGTTACCCCGCACACGGGTCAGCCTGCCAGCCACGTATCCACGCAAGCGTGGTCCGCGTGCATGGCATACAGGCGTCCGCCAGACAGCGCAGAGGCTAGGCGACCGGGGAAGGACTAGCTCAAGGGCAACACAGCGTCACCAGCCGTTGGCGCGCAGAACGAGTCTCCGGCACTTGGAGCACTTGGAGTGCAGTCGGCAACCGCACACCCAGGGCCGGGGAGCGGCCCTATTTTTTATCTTCGCTGCAGGAAGTCGCGGCCCGGGCTGCACGAGCGCTGCACCGAATGGCCTCATGCACTACGCAGCGCCAGGCCCTGCTCAGCGCTGTTGCGGCGCTGCCGACGGCGGACGACGGCAGCTGGAGCGTTCCCGCGCCGATCCTCAAGGCGACGTCGACCAGCGAAGCCGACGCCAAGCGCCACGTGCTGTCGTTCAGCGCGTGGGCGCAGGGTGCGGTGCGGCAGCTGCCCGAGGCGTCCGAGCATGAGGCGACCGACTTCAGCGACTACTACAAGATTGTTATGTCGCGTGTGCAGCTCGTCTACGCAAAGGCAACGCAGCCAGCGGGCGAGCTGCGCTTCCCGGCCTGCCGCTTCCAGACGCAGCTGAGGAGGCGGCCGCAGGTCGTCAAGGACGGAGCGGCGCGCGAGCTCGGCGTCTTTGACAGCGGCGCCGGCCCCGAGATGGTCGGATCGTACGAGGGGTCGAGTGCCGCCTTCCGCGCCGCACTGCAGGCCGTCGGCGAGCGTCGCTTCCGCGCCGCCACGCTGCGCAGGCTGATCGCGGCGCGGGGCCCTCCGGCGGCGAGCATCGAGGAGAGCCTCGCGCCTGTCAACGAGGAGTGGGTCCGCCTGCTCTCCGGCTCGAGGCTCTTTGAGCTGCTCGACGACGGCGTCGGCTTCTCGGCGAGCGGCGGCGTGCAGGTCAGGGTGGAGCTGCAGGGGGGGCAGGCGGTGGTTCTGGCGCAAGGGCCGTGGTTCCGCGTCACCTTTGCGGAGACGCCGATCCTGCAGTGCATGGCTCAGTTTATGACCGATTCGGTGCAGACAGAGGGCGACCACGGCGCGGCCCGCTGGTGCCGCGACGCGCTGATGAACTTCGCCGTCGCCGCGCACTCCGTGCAGGAGCGCGTGCATGCGCCGGGCCTCGGCTCCGTCTCCTTCTTCGCGGGCCGCCGCGCGCCGCACGCAGACTTCCACCTGCTGCAGCACCTGTACCTGCAGCAGCTCTGGCCCGCGTTCGCCACGTCGTCCCTGTTTGCCGGCCGCGTGCTGCCGCGCTGCCGCCTCGTCGGCACGTCGGCGCACGAGGGGCCGATGGCGCTGATGGCGCTGGAGGCGCGAGATGGCCCGAGATCACCCGAGATCACCCGAGATTAGGCGCGAGCACCGCGCCTCATCTCGAGATTCCCCGAGATTCCCCGAGGTTAGGCGCCCCTCGACGCGCGCCTCCCCCTCTCGTCCGTGCTCTGGACGATCCTCTTCTGGGCGTGCACGGGCAACAGGACCGTCTTGCCGGACGCCTTTGGCTCGGCGACGTTCAAGCACAGACTACCCGAGACTACCCGAGATTACCCGAGATTACGCCTTTGGCTCGGCACCGTTCAAGCACATGCTGCTCGAGGCGACGCGCGTCGTGCGTCTGTGAACAGCGTCTCTTCACACCTGCAGCCGTGAACAGGCACATGCTGCTCGAGCTCGGCCTGCTGCCCGACGTCGCGATGGCGCGGCAGGACTCGGGCCGGCTCGCGCGCTTCGCAGCCATCTTCCCAGAGACGCGGCGCATGGCGTCGGAGATTGAGGAGTTTGCCGACATCGAGGAGGCGCTGCGGTGCGGCTACCGCTACTTCGGCGCGGGCGGCTTCTTCGGCGAGAAGAGGCGAGGCCTCGCCGAGTTTTCGATCGCCGCGAAGATCACGACGGCGCTCTGCCCTGCCGCGGACGGCACGCTGCGGGTGGGGCACGCGGGCAAGCTGGGCGACTTCTCCGAGGGCTTGCGGGCGGACTCCTCTCGGACCCTTCTCGGAACCTTCTCGGAACCTTTCCCCCGCAGGCGACTTCTCCGAGGGCTCGTGGGCGGACTTTTCGGAAGAGAAGCACGGCGGGACGGCGCGCGCCAGAGCTCATCCCCCCTCCGGGTCGCTTGGGACTTCTCGGCTCCTCTCGGCTCCTCTCGGCTCCTCTCGGCTCCTCTCGGCTCCTCTCGGCTCCTCTCGGCTCCTCTCGGCTCCTCTCGGCTCCTCTCGGCTCCTCTCGGCTCCTCTCGGCTCCTCTCGGGCCACCTCGGCCGATCCTCGGCGCAGGCGCGAGCCAAGTTCATCGTCCCCGCGGAGGTCGACCGCGACGAGATGTTCGTTCGGCTCCTCGGCTACGCGCGCGCGGGCGACGCGCTGCACGACGCGGCCACCGCCGCCGCCGCCGCGGGGGTCGGCGCGGCGCCTGGGACGCTGCTGGTCCGAGCCGACGCAGAGGCGCTGGCGGCGCGGCTACGCGAGGTGGGCGGCGCGGAGGCCATGGGAGGGTACGCGCGCATTCGCGACGCGCTGACGACGTACGCGGAGCGTGTCGACGCGGCGGCGGCGGCGCTTCCAGCTCAGCCTCAGGCGGCCGCCGCATCGCGGTGATGAGCGGCGAGGGGGCGGAGGGCGAGGCCGTGGGCGCCGAGAAATCATCAGCCACCGCTGCTGCTCCGTTGTTTCTGAGTTTCTAGGTGTGTGTGTGGAGTGTGTTGCTTCGTCGCTAGTATCGACGCTGCGTATGCTGCACCGCGTTTTCCGGAGGTCCTCACCGAAGACGCCCCGCTCTTCACAGCGCTGTCTGATATATATAGAGTGCGGGTTGACGGAGGTTCCGCTCGTCGACACATCCACGGACCACGCCATGGTCATATCGGCACCAACTCGATTCGCAGTACGTAGATCGGCGTCTCACGGCCGGGCTGCGGGAGACGGGGCCTCTGCGGCTCCGGCTGCGGCGGTACGCCTCCCGCACGGGTTCGGCCCTCGCGGCATATGCGGTGGCGTTTGGCACTGCGGCACTCCGCTGGGCAGGAAGCCATACGCGTTCAGGTACCTCTCGCAGCACATGAGATAGGAGTAGTGCTTTCGCACCTCCTCGCCCTTGCGGATCGCGCGCTTCGCGTGCATCGTGAAGGCGTGCTCGCTCGCGCGGAACCGGTTTTTGACGTCGCCGGGTGTACCGTGGTTGAGCAAATCGGCGCCGGGCGCGCTGAAGAGGATCTGCTGCCCGGGCGTGTACCAGGGCATGCTCCATTGGCGGGCATGTAGCACGCTCACCATGGAGCGAAAGCGCTCCCTGCTGTACACCTGCACCAGCTGCTCCTGGGAGCACACGATGGCGTCGCAGACGCCGCCCTCACTCAGTGCGGCAGCGTGACGGCGGAAGCTCACATCGACGAGGCGCCTCCACGCAGACTCGGTCGCGGCCCGCGACGACGCTGCTAACTTTCGGCTGTAGTTGGAGAGCGAGTTCAGCCGCTCCTGAGAGGTTGCGGGGTCCCACGTCTGGGGGATGCCGTCGGTCGGGTGCGCCTCGAGCAGTGCCTTTACGTACGGCATCCAAAAGGAGGCGTTGCGAGTGGACTCGCGAATCAAGAAGGAAGCCATTGCACTGCGCGTGCCGACCTCCCTCACCATGGGGGAGAGGCTCGAGTTCTGGATTGTAAACGCGCTCAACAAGCTGGCTCTTGGCACGCGGCACACCAGCTCGGCGGATCGGATGGCTTCGGTGGCTCGGACCCCACGGAGCTTGATTCCCAGAGTCGGGTAGTAAAAGGAGCCGAATTTGAGCTTCGGGCACTGTATTCCCATCGCCTTTTGCGCTCGCGGCCAGAGTTCCACTCGTTCGGCGAGGGTCCTCCTCTCCCAGGTAGCGCGTCTCCAGATGCCACCGTCGAGCAGGTCAGCGGGCATGGTCTCAGACATGTGCTTCAGGGTTTATTCCGAGTTACAACTTCGCTGACCGCTCTGCAGTGGGGGTAGGAGGGAATGCGTTGCGGATCCGCGCGGACGAGCGGCTGCAGCGCCGCTTCGCCGAGGTGGGGCGCGCGATCCAAAGCAACTTTTGAAGCTCCCTCGATGGAACTTCGACGCGAGCACTTCCGTCCGGGGAATCACCGCGTGCCTCCCCGTCTTTGTAGCCTGGCGTTTGTGCCCCGTTTGTGCCGCGTCCTGTGCCCCCGAGTTCATTGAAAAAACTGCGGCCTCCTGCGTTTGCGCGCGATACATCACCACCCTCTCTGGCATCTCCTCATCATCAATCACGCGCCAGGAGTGGCCGGCGCTGCTCGCAGCAGAGTCACCAACGAGTCGGTCCGCGTGACTCCTCGTGTCCCGCACCGTTCTCACACATCCATAAACTCACTTTGGCCTCACTGAAGCAAGCCCTCAATCCTGAATCCTCAGATTTTATATTAGGACGCTGTCTACCCCCTAGCAGCACAGGCCGGAAATGAATTGATTGTTTTTTCAGGCACTTAGAGCACACAGTGCCCAGGTGCGCGACACCGAACAGGGAGACGCTCTCCTTCCCTCGCGTGTTGCCCGCGTCACGCTCCTTTTTGCCCGGCCGCGCGCAGGGCAGCGCTAATCGGGCGCCCTTTGCTCCTCCGCAAGCTGCTTGCTATAGGGGGCCAACATATACGCAGAAGATGCTGTCGAAGATGCGGTCGGGTCTTCCGAATGGCGCGCAGCGCCGGCGCGCAGCGCCACGCCGCACGCGTCCGCCGGAGGCCCGCCGGAGGCTCTTGCTGCGGCCACACTCCGGCAAGTTTGCCGCGCGCAGCGCCCCGCGCCGCAGGCCCGCTGGAGGCTCCCCGGCCGACGCGTCAAGGCTGCTTTCGGCAGCGCCGGCGCGCAGCGCCACGCCGCTAGGCGTCCGCCGGAGGCCTGGCCGCCGGAGGCTCTTCATGCTGCGGCGCCACACTCGGGCAGAGGGTTGTGCGCCGGGCCCTCCTGCTCGGCTCCAGCGAGTAGACAAAGTGTTACCATCAACAGAGGAGAAGGATCTGACCTCAGCGCCGATGTGGCCAAGCGCTGGTAGCGTGCTTTTACCTCACACCCACGGTCTCAGGTCTCACCCGCTATAGACCATAGCGTGCATAGACAAACCCAATAGATACGCGAGCACAGGCGGGCAACGGCAAGACCCCACCTGGGCGTGGGGGTTTGGCCCTCTCACTGAAAACCCCGTGCGGAACGAGAAATCATCGCACCACCACCCTTGGCAGCACAAAGCCGCGCCAGATGTCCGCCAGCTCCGGAGCCGCTCCCTCGCGGCTGTCGAAGCGCTCCTCGTCCCAAGCGATCAGGTAGCCCAGCCGCATCACCTCGACCGCCCGCTTGCGAGCCGCCTCCGGGAAGAGCTCGTGCGACTGCGGCGACCACTCCGCCGCCTTGAGGATGAGCCTGCCCACCTCCACCGCCGCGGCCGCTGGCTCCAGGTTGGCGGGCCTGAGGAAGGGCAGAGGCGTGGGGCGTGTCAAAGAGAGGATCCGGCGAGTCGGGGAGAGACCATTGCATTGCGCGCCTCAGTGCGAGGGCCTTGGCCTCGCCCGCCACGCGCACGCCGAAGCGGGCCGTCGAAGTGTTTGCGGAGACGACGACGCCGACCTTGCCGTTCATCGAGGGCCGCGAGACGAGAGAGCGGATCTCGACTGTGGAACCGACGGCCGCAGCGGTCGGATCCGACTCGCCCCACGAGCAGAGGACGCGCGCCCGCTCGAGGGCCGAAGGCTCGCCGGCCGAAGAGTCTGCGCCGCCGCGCAGCAGCGCCCGCGCCCGCTCGACGGTGAGCGCCTGCGGAAGAGGTGCAATGGGAGTGAGGACAGCGCGCTCACGCCTTCAGCCGCTAGTCTCTGGCACGCCTCGAGGTGCTGGAGCGGCGTCCAACCGCGGCTGGCGACCAGCCAGGCGGCGAGGTCGGCGTGGCCTTCACGGCCTACAATCTCCTCGGGTGTGCCGAAGGGCGTAGCGGCGCGGGAGGCGCCGTAGGAGGAGAGGAGCTTGGCGACGTCGAGGTGGCCCTCCTGGCACGCCATGAACAACGGCGTGGTGCCGTCCTCGCTGGCCTGGTCTACCGCCGCGCCAGCCTCGAGGAGCAGCCGGACACACTTGAGGTGGCCTTCCTCGCACGCCATGAACAGCGGCGTGGCGCCGTTCTGCGGGGCTTGGTTGATCGCCGCGCCCGCCTCGAGAAGCAGCCAAACGCACTCGGGGTGGCCCTCCTGGCTCGCCATGAACAGCGGCGTGGTGCCTTCGTTGCAAGCTTGATTGACCGCCGCACCAGCCTCAACGAGCAACCGAACGCACTCGAGGCGGCCCTCCTGGCACGCCATGAACAGCGGCGTGACGCCGTCGTTCATCGCTTGGTTGATGTCAGCGCCAGCGCCGCGCAGCAGCCGGGCGACCTCGGGGTGGCCATTCAGGCACGCGATGTGCAGCGGCGTGATACCGTCGGTCCTGGCCTGGTTGATTGCCGCGCCAGCGTCGCGCAGCAGCCGGGCGCACTCGAGGTGGCCCTCCTGGCACGCAACGTACAGCGGCGTGCGGCCTTCAGAATCCGCTTGGTTGACCGCCGCGCCAGCCTCCAGGAGCAGCCGGGCGCAGTCGATCTCGCCAGTCAAGCTCGCAGCACTCAGCGGCGTGGTGCCTTCATCATCAGCCTGGTCGACCGCTGCGTTGGCCTCGACGAGCAGCCGCGCGATCTCGAGCTGCCCCTTCTCGCTCGCGACGAACAGCGGCATGCGGCCTTCAGCGTCTGCTTGGTCGGTCGCCGCGCCAGCCTCGACGAGCAGCCGGGCGCACTCAATCTGGCCATTCAGGCACGCGATGTGCAGCGGCGTGATACCGTCGGTCCTGGCCTGGTTGATGTCAGCGCCAGCGTCGCGCAGCAGCCGGGCGCACTCGAGGTGGCCCCCCTGGCACGCTATGAACAGCGGCGTGACGCCTCTGGAGTCTGCTTGGTCGGTCGCCGCGCCAGCCTCGACGAGCAGCCGGGCGCACTCAATCTGGCCCTCCTGGCACGCGGTATACAGCGCGGAAGCGCCGCCGCCAGTCGTCGCCCCGAAGCTCACGCCGCTGTCGAGCAGCAGCCGCACCGCCTCGGCCTGCCCGTGCCGAGCGGCCCAGGTGAGCAGCGTGTCCTGCTGCTCGGTGCCGTGCCGCACGTCGAGCTGGGCAATATGTGACGTGCCGTGCGTCCCCTGTCCGGAGAGGAAGGCGCGCAGCGAGGCCAGGTCGCCCCGAGCCAGGTCGGCGAGGCGGGTTGGGAGGATGGCGTCGCTCATGCCAGAAAGAAAAAAATCAAGGAAAAACAACGAGTTGCGCTAGAGAGAGAAGAGCCCTACGTCGCGCCGCTTGGCCAGGGTGTGATCAAGAGGTGCGCCGCATTTGACTGCCACATTCGCGCCCCTGGAGTGCCCGCACCACAAACAAACAAGGGAGGAGGGGGTGCGATCTGGGCATTTCGGCAGGTCTGGGCATTCGATTGCACACGCAGAGAGGCGTCACCCTCGCGTCGCCATGCTCTTTGACACGCCGGCCGGCAGCCCTATCGCCCGGCCGCGCGCGTTGCCAAACTCGGCCGACACGATCGTCGCGCCGGTGAAGTCCGCGCCGTCCAGGTCGCACTCTGCAAAGTTGACCGCGTCGAGGGTGGCGCCGCGGAAGGTCGCGCCCTGCAGCTGCGCGCCCGTAAACTCGACCTTGGGGGGTAGGGGAGGGTGGGTTCGGGTACCGTGGGGTAG